TCAATCACTGTCCCTGACACTAGCTCTGGGGCCAAGCCCGTTAAGTCGCACTGGTCGGTCATTGCAACCCAATGTAACAGGGGCTCTGAGGGAGGGATGCTCACAGGTGACAAACAGCTCACCTGTGTGGGGCAGCAGGGAAGGCTTCCTGGAGGAGGTGACTGTGGGGACTCGACAGATACCTCCCAACAAGCCCTGTGCCAGGTCTGGTGCTGGGTTCCAGGGATCGGAGGTGAGTAGGTGCCCTTTAGGAGTCCACCTTCCAGGAGGACACACAGAGAAATATAAACATAGGGTGGCACAGGCCAAAACAGAGTTGCCTATGGGCCTGGGGAGCTGTGTGTGTGGGTCTGGTGCGGTCACCTATAAAACACACGGGCTGCCCTGGACACCCTTCAATGTTCCCTCCAACTCTGCTCAGTTTACCTGGAGTAACTTCGAATTCTGTCAAGATGCAGCCACCAAGAAGACACTGATTTACCCTCAGCCTCGCCCTCAGCCTTTCCCAACAGTCCGAGGTGCCTCAGTCTCACTACAGCAAGGCTCCTGTGGCTTTAAGCTGACCACACAGAGTCCCAGGCTGCTCCCCGGACACCAGTGGCTGCACGTGTAGAGGCCCAGTCAGGACCGCACCTGCACCCGCCCCACGGCGACACGGCCAGGGAAGCGCGCTCAGAAACTGCCCCTGGGAAGTGGGGCTGGGGCGGGGTGGTGGGCAAAGGCGGGGCGACTGCCTCAGGGGCCGGGCTTGCTAAAGGGGTTTTGGCAACCAGCAGGGGTTTCTGGGTGGTGCAGTTACGGGTTTAAGAGGCTCATCAGCCCCTCAAGGGCTGCCCACAAGCTGGGTCCATTTTCCATGAAGGCCCAGGTGGACTACGGGAGCCACGCGCTCCGGGCATCTCTGCTGAGAACCCATCCCCTCCGCTGACCAAAGCCTAGCAGATCTTAGGACAGGGTACTCGTTTCCCCCAGACTCCAACCTCGGCCTCTGCACAAGCCGCACCAGCTCAGGCCCTGCAGACCGAGGGCCCAGGGCAGGAAAACGGGTTCCGCCTAAAGTGGAAGTGCCCATCTGGAGGGTGCAGGGATGGATTAGCGACGTCAGCTGTAGGAGGGGCAGCATATTTGCTCTCCCTGGAGTACGTTTAGTGGAACAAAGGCAAACCTTCTGTCACTTGACATTGCTATTGCACATCCTTGGTAGATGGTCATCTGTGAATGGTACACATGGCTGCACTTCTCTATGGGGCTGTGAATACATGTACATGGTCTGTTTGAATCATCAGTGAACCAGAATGCCATACTTCCCAGCCATTTTATCCTGGGAGTTGTGGGAAAAAGACAAGGCCACTCCCATTTTCAAATACCGGACAACACTAGGGTCATCCACACGACCACGGTGCCCTCATCGTCATCCTCACCGTCAATATCACTATCATCACCATCATCAACATCCTCGTTCTCCTCCTCCTCCTCATCTTCATCTTCCTCCTCCTCATCACCGTCATTATCAAGGTCATCCAAACCGTCAGCCCCACCCCCGTCTCCTCAGTCCCCTCAGTCCCAGCAGCTGATGCTCACACAGTGCGCCCCATGTGCCCAGCTACACGCAAATACTTGATATACATTAATTCATTCAATCCTCACGCTGTCTCCATGGAGTAGGTACTTCTGTTAGCTCTATTCTACAGACAAACAGAGACTAAGCGGCTTGCCCACGCTAGCCACGTGGGATTCGAACCCTAGCAGTCTGGCTCCCAGATCCCTGCCCTCACCACAATGCTCAGCTGGACAGGCACCGTTCATTCTCCCTCCCAGGGTGGGGAGCGTGGGAGCGATACCCACCCGCAGAAAAGCAGCATGGCGGGATGGAGCCGCCAGCGGGGCTCGAGCCCCACCTCAGGAAGACCCCTGCCTTCTCAGACCTCCACTGCCCCAACTGTAAACCAGGGAGTAGACGTGAGAATGGTCCCTGGCTCCCGCAGGCCACCCCTCCAGCCTTCAAAGCCCCCAGGAGGCTCTGCGTGGCCCTGTCGGGAAGCCCGCGGGGGATCTGGTGGCCCTTGGGTGAGCACTCGGGGGGCTCCCTCGGTTCTGGCTGATGACCGTAGGTGGGTCCCAGGGATGAGAACACCTCAGCGCAAGTGGGGCATTGCCACTCCCGCCCCCAGACGCCACACCAGCACTCACTCACTGAGGGTTTCGGGCACAAGCGGCCACCGGGTGCCCCCAGCTCAGTTCCTGACAGTTACTCTCCATCCTGCTCACATGGAAGCTCACAGGTACCGATTTAGCATCCGCTCGACCCTCACCTGGTCTGTGAGAACTTCCACCGAGATCATTGCAGCTCCTACGGCCCAAACCAGACCATAAGCTTCTTGAGTGAGGGGCAAGGGTGCACCGTAACTGTCACCATTTATGTCATTGGGAGAGGCAGTGAGGACGGGAGAGGGTGACAATGACAGTGATGGCAATGGTCCCTTCATCTGTGTGTGACGCGCGCTCCCCGCCCCCTGCCCCCCCGAGCCAGGCCGGCCCCGGGACGCCCACTGCACTCCGTTCTGTCTTTAGCTCTGCGTGCGGTGGCGGGTATTTGGGGCCCATCTAACCAAAAGAGAAACTGAGGCTCAGGAGGGCAATGATGACCTAAACCTTCCCATCAGAGCTGGCGGCAACCCAGCACCAGGCCCGTCCCTGCTGCTCTCGCTAGACAAGGTCAAAAGGACACCGTGGCAAAAGTGAGCTGTCGGGGACCTGCACCCGCTCGTCCCGTAGGCCCTCACGTTGACCGGGCAGCTCATGGGCAGCTCCAGTCCTGGGAGCTCCAGTCTGGGCAACGGACAGAGAGTAAACATTTTCTCCATGTTCGTGCCAGGCCAGCCCCAGGGGCTGGGGACACAGGGACACTCATAAAACACTCTCTGCCATCAAGGAGCCCACGGGGAGCCCGAGTGTGACTTCAGTGTGATGGCCCCAACCCAAAGCCCGTGGCAGACCCTCGAGAAATGAGCTCAGGGTTCAGTGGGGGAGCAAGACACACAACAACCTACAGTCAGAAGTGCTATGATGGAGGGTAGCCCAGGGGCTTTTGGGAGCAGAGTAGGTACTTGGCGGGGGGGGTGTTTAGGTATCAGGGAAGGCTTCCTGGAGGAAGCAAAGAATCTAAAGCATGATTAGAAATTAGCCACAACACAAGGGGTGGAGAAGGAGCTTCAGGCAAGGAGAAAACCTGAGCTGGGGCTCAGAGACATGGGACGGCCTGGCGTGTGTGCGGGTGGCCAGGACAAGAGTGTTGCTCAGTGTTTCTGGAAGTGGGGGCAGAGGCCAGAGCCAGGCTGGAGAGACAGGGAGGCCCCTGGCAACTCCTGAAGCACAACCACGGCTTTCTCCTCTCCCCTTTCCACGCAAAGGACGCCGGCCCGTGGAGCCGGCAAGTGTGACTCCCAATGGCGTCGGGCAGAGTGGACAGCTCAGCTGGACCTTGGAGGACGCCAGGGAAACAGGGAGGCGACAAAGCATGGGCCTCCCGGGTGCGGGCTGGCAGGAGGGGACCTAAGGACTCAGGCTGGAAGAGGGCAAGCTGAGTCAGTGGCTTAAACCAGCGGAGATGGGGGCCACCCTCGGCCCCCTCCTTGCCTAGCACTGAGCGTAGGGAGCTGAGGGTCAGAAAACAGTCACACAGAGCCACACATGTGCCACTTAGAACCACTGCGCTAACCAACCTCCGGGCCCTGCCAGCAGCCAGGCCCGCACGCGCCACCAGGCTGACGTCCTGCCCTATCTGCCTCAAGCCTGGCCTCCCTCCAGAGGCCTGCGGCAGGCGCCCGCTCCCTGCTCAGGCTGCTGGGCCCCGAGCAGGGCCAGGATGTGGCCAAACCGGGCCGATCCAGGCCAACGTCATCTGCCCAGTGCTCGGCCCTAAGCAGATCCGCAAGGAATGAGATGGGTAAATGGCATCAGCGTCCGGAGGCGGTGAAGCTGCTTCTCGTGCAAAACCCCAGCTCCCGTGATGCTGCGTGTGGAAGGGGCAGGTGCCCACCTTGGTTGCGGGTGCCCCTTTCCTAACACAAATCTCACGCTTGGCGGCAGGCGGCAGGGCTCCGTGAGGAGAAGGGTGTCAGGGAGCCGTGGGGTGCAAATTAAGAGGCCTGTGTTTGAGTGCTGGCCACGCCCCTGAGAAAATGGGACCTTGCAAAAGGCGCATCTCCTCTGACACTCGCTTCTCCTCATCTCAGAAGCGGGGACCCACAGGGAAGACTTGGATCAATGCTTCTCATCCAGGGGTGCGTATCAGTCACACATGCTGTTTCCTGCCCTGGATGCTGGCCCTGCTCCAGGCCTGCAGAGTCAGAACGGCCACACAGACCCTCCAGGACAAATGCTCCCAGGGGTGCCATCCCGTTTGGAGGGACCTGGCTCCAAAGACGCCTAAGGCTGCTCTTTTCTCTCTGCTGGTCAACCTGCCAGGGGGCAATTTTTAGCATCAGATGGTCAAACCAGCACCCCAGGCGCAGGAAAGGAGGGCTGGACAGACAGGCTGCACAGAGTCACCGGTCTCCTCCTGTGCGCTCGTCCCTGAGCCAGCCCTGCAGACACTGTGGCCACCTGCTAGCAGTTCCTTTGGAAGCTACAGGCCGCACAGGGTGCTTTCGGATTCGAAGTTATGAGAGTTGCGGTAACGCCCCCAGCTTTACCCCACACACCTCTGGTTAGGGAGAAACGAACAAAATAGATCGTTCAATGCATCTTCTCCATTTCTTTAAAAAGAAAAAATGTTTCAAACCCAGGGAGAGTTAGGCACCCCAGGCTCCTAATTCCCCTCCTAGGGGAGGCCCCCAGGTCCCCAGGAGGCCCGAAGCCCCCTCCCAAGGCTGAGGCGGGCTGCGCGGCTGAGCTCATGCTCACAGGGTGGGGCACTGGAGGCTCAGCCCCTGCTGGCATTTCCCGGAGGAGCGGGGCTGCGGCGGCGCAGGGTCAGGCCACAAGGGTGGGGGGCTCACCTTCACACTGCCGGCCTTCCCCCTTGTAGCCTGGTTTGCAGAGGCATCTGTAGGACTTGGGCGTGTTCTGGCAGATGGCGTCGATGTGGCAGTCATCCGTGCCCTCGGAGCACTCGTCCACGTCCGCCGCCCCTGCTGTGGGGGGAGGACACGTGAGGGGCGGCCCGAGGCAGGCAGTTGACAGTGAGGCAGGGAGCTCCTTCTGCCTCCGGCAGCCGTGGATCATGGGGGTGATGGACAGGAACAGCTGTCACATGATCGTCCGGCGTGACAAGTCGCGGCTGGTAGCATCGTGGGGGCAGCTACTCTCTCACTTAGTTTCACAACAACTCATTAAGTCGATCTATTATTCCCACTAAACCGATGAGAAAACTCAGGCTCAGGAGCCCAGCAAGGAAAAGCCTCTCTGCGTGTCTTGCTCTCTCCACAGTTTCACTCTCCCCGCACCCTGCACTCTCATTATGGGGCTTAGAGCCAGAAGGATCTTTTGAGGAGTTTCAATCTGTCCCCTGTGGGTTACCGATGGGGAAACTGAGGCCAGCAGGGAGCCACGAGCAGAGGCCAAACCAGGGAGTGATCTGAGATCTGAACACGGGACCCCACCCAGCCCCCAGGCTGTGGAAAAGCGGAATCCTCCTGTGCTTCCACATCCCTGGCAGCAGTGCCGGCCGAGGACCCGTGCCCGCCCCTGGGCTCAGCAGCGCATCCCTGGCTCTGACTGCCCCGTCCTCTCTCCGCTCTGCTTTCAAAACCTAGCTCTCATAGCCCAACTCCCCGAGCCAAGTTCAGCCCAGGTTTGCAGCGCTCCTGGCTCTCCCCACTCCCACCCCCAACACGCACGGCTACCCCTTACATCTGAAACAGCTGTCAGGCAAAAGAATGCAAAATAGATTTGTGTATTCCTGCATATACACCGACACCCACGCACACACACCTCAGAAGTGGGGGGGCCCTCCGGGCGCAGGGTCGCAGAGCGAGAGGAGCCTCAGCTGTAATGGAGGTTACAGACGAGGGCACTGAGGCCGGGGGGGCAGGGAGGGGTTGGGTTGTGCTGTAGGTCGCCGGCTCCTTTAGGGGCAGAGACTGAAGCCCAGGTCCAGAGCTCATCTACATGTCATGTTGCATCCAGTTAGCTATGACGGACGTGCCAATGGATGTTGGGCAGACAGGGGGACCCCGAGGGGCAGTCCAAGGGACTGTCGGCAGCCATGATCACTCAGGGCCAAGCCTGGGGAAGTCCCGGAGCATCCCGCTCTCTTCATGTGTCCAGCCTCCCCCTAGACTGTCTGGTCCTCAAGAACGTGCACTCTGACTTAGTCCCCTGACCAGCATCAGGGTTCCTGGGGGGCCTCTCTCGGAAAACCACTGCTGTCCCCACCAGACTCCTCCCTTGCCCTAGTCCTAAGGCTCCAGCCTGCCCCACAGGGAGACGTGTCAAGAAAACACACAAAATCACCTCCCTGCACACGTGGGCACACACACGCGTGCGCACACAGCAGTTGGCATCGCTTTTCAGGGTGGGTGTATCTGCCCAGGTCCACAGCCCATCCTCTGCAGCTGCCCAGAGGAAGGCGGAACAGCGGCCACAAGGCCCGCGCCAGCCCTCAGGGTCCAGGGCCCGGCAGGAACATCGGGCCAGCAGAGCATCCCCTCTGGGAAGTGATGACAGAGGAACCCCCGGGCAGGGGTGGCACAGCCTCAAAGGCAGGAAGCCAGAGGCCAGAGAGGGCCAACCTGCATCCTTCCCGGGGGGGAGGCCTGGGGCTACTTCGGAGACAGGACCAGCAGGGGAAATGGCCTCGGAGCCTGCTCCTGCCACTTCCTAAGGGTCAGTGCACAGGAATGATGGGAGGGAAAGTGTCTGCCGCCCCGGAGCCCTTGCCCTTCTACCCCAGGCTCCCACCTAGGAGGTGTCCTCGTGAGGATGGACATGAATGACTGTTCGCTAAGGGCGGTGGGGCCACCCCCCAAGACACCTTTTAAATGCAGCTTCAGGTGGGTGCTGGGGAGGGGGCAGGTGAGTTCCAAGAGGGAGAGAGAGGCGTTGCAGGCCGTTTGTACCCATGGCCCTCTGGCCATGCTCCCTGCCCTGGGCTGGGGGCTTCCCGCTCAGGGCAGCCCAGACTTTGCCTCACTGGCTTTGACTTTGGTTTAATTTCCAGCACAAGGCCTCCATGGGCGGGGGGTGGGGGGGAGATGGGGTGGAGACAGGCAGAGACACAGGAGAGACGGCGAGGTGGGGAGAGGCACATTCAGGAAAACCAAGTGGGGTTTTAGGACCTTAAAGCCTGGGAGAGACACCCACAGACAAGCGGGGCTGTGGGCAGCAGGGCCCAGCTTCCCAGGGGTGGGGAGGCACGTGAAAAGCCAAAGCGGCACAGCTGAAATGGCCTGGCATCATCGCTCAGGGCGTGACTCGCCAGGAAAGACTCCTGTGGCCAACACAGACTTCAGGGAGCCCCATGGGACAGCCAGGCGGTGCCCAGAGAAAGCCGAGGAGAGCACCAGGGGCCGGCAGGATCTTCCCCTGACCTCCCCTCGCCAGGGAGAGAAAGGGAGGAAGCTTGTCCAGGGGAGACCCTGACTTCAGCTTTGTGGCAGCTCCCCACCCAGACAGCCGGGGGAAGCAGGAGGAGCAGGCCGGCGCGGGGTGGTGAGGGGGGGTCGCGGGGCGGGGGGCGTGGGAGAGTGGTGCCGGGATCCCTGTGAAATCCTGGGGAGCCCAGCCTGGCCCCTGCTGCCTGCCCTGACCCTGCACCCCACACCGGCACCCTCCTTCAGTGTCCCTGCTTCCTCTCCTCTCCTGGACCTCCCCACCCATCAAGTCCCATGTCTGGCATCCTCTTCCTCTGGTTCCCATCCACCTCCTTCCCTCTGGGTCTATCCCTCCGTCCTCCCCCTCCAGCATGACTGTCCATCTGCCCATCACTTTCCAGCCACCTCCGTACCTCCCGCCCCCCGCCCCCGCCCCGCCTTGCTCCCACTCCGCCAGCTGCGCTCCCAGTCCACCCATCTCCCTCTCGGGCGTGTCTGCCTCCACCTCTCCCCTCTCTCTGCGTTCTCGTCCCTCAGTCCGGCCCGGCCCTCATTCTCCCTCTTTTGATCTTTTTCTTTCCTGCTGCCTGTGGGCCGCCTCCTCCCTGCCGTAGTCTCCTCCTTTCCCCCTCCGGTCTTCCTTCGGGTATCTTCTCTACTCTTCCATGTCTGTCTTTCTCTGGGTTTCTTCCTGTGTCCTTTTGTGTGTTCCCTCTGTGTCTGCTTCTGTCCGTCTGTCCCTCCATCTACGATCCCCCTTTCTTTCCCTGTCTGTCCCTTTTCCCTTGGTCTCCCCTCCGAGCTTCCTTCCGTTCACGCTCCTCTCTGCCCTGGGGGAGCGCCCGTCCGGCTCCGGGGTCCCCGCTCCCCGCCCTCGGTCCGCTCGCTGGGGGCCCCCTCGGCCGGCCGTCACTCTTTCTTCCTTCCTTCCGCCCTCGCCCTCCTCTTCTCCCGGTGCCTCACCCCACCCCGCCCCTGCTGCGGGCCCGCTGGGCTCCGAGAGAGCCCCGCGCGGCCCGGGCAGCGGGAAGGGGGCGCCCCGCGCGGGTCCCAGAAGTTACTTTGCAAAGAGGCGAGGCAAGGCGCGGAATTGCGCGGGCCGAGGCCCCAGAGCGCCGGGTAGGGGACACGCCCGGGACCCAGCCGCCGCCGCCGCCGCCGCAGCCCCGCGCCCGCCGCCCGCCGCCCGCCGCCCACCGGGTCCGGGCTTACCTGGGAGCCCGCTGCCCGCCGCCAGCCGCCCGCGCGCGCCCAGCGCGAGCAGCACGCACAAGTGCCAGCGCACGGCCGCCGCGCCCATGCTCGCTGCGGGCCGCCCCGGGCAGGGCGTGCGGGCGAGCTGGGCGCGGGGATTCCCCCGACCGGCCGCTCGGCTAGCGCTCCTCGCTGCTGGCTCCTGGGCCAGCGCTCGGGCTCGCAGCCACCAAGCCGGCGCGGCTGACGAGCTGACAGCCGTGCGTTCATTGGGTCGCTGCCTCCGGGGGCGGGGCGCCGCCGCGCCGCTGGCCAATGGGCGCCGGCTGCCGAGCTGCGGGGGGAGGGGCGGGAGGGTGCCCGGCCCACCCCCCCACCCGGCTCCCCGCGGGCGGCAGGTGGGGGGTAGGGGCCCCGGGCGGCTCGCGCGGCCGCGGGGTGCACGGTCTCGGCCAGGCTGTGGCTCACACGGAAGCTGCTCCCTCCCTCTGCCTGATGGCCCCCGAAACCGTCGTCACTGAGGGCGACCACCCCTCTGAGGGCAGCAACCCCCGCTCCTGGCACCCACACGCTCTGGGGCGAGGAGGGGCCTGCCAGCCGTTCCTCGGAGATCGGGAAAGGCCCGGCGGCACCGATTTGGAGTGAAAGACACGCCCGCGCGCAGAGCAGAATTCATGCACCCTTTCGGTAACTATTGAACACCTACTGTGTGCCTCGCGCTTGCGAGGCAGCGGTGAAGTAGCCACATAGGAAAAAGATCGTGAAGATCGGTTTAAAATTTACATTCAAAACGAACTTTTTACCACTCCCCAAAGGACAGTGGCCCCTAAGTGTGCTTGTCACGGGACAGTCTCAGAATCCGCGTCTGGAAGGGGCCCCGGGAAAGCTCCGCGTGGGGCAGGATCGCTTTGCCCGCCGTCCTGGCCGCGCGGCCCGTCTGCGGGGCTGACCTCTGAGCCAGCAGTTCGAAGCCCGAGAATGTGAGGCCTGGGGCGGGCCCCGGGGGCAGAGCCGGGCCGGGCAGTGGGCTGGGCGCGGCGGAGGCATCTCGGCCGTTCAGCCCAAGGAACTGCTCTGGCCCGGCTGGCGCCTACACCTGACGTCTGCTGGCCTTGGTCTGCTGGCCTTGGGTGCCTGAATAGGAGACCCCCGCCTGCAAGGCGCGGCTGGAAATAAATGGCCCCTCTCAGCCGGAGTCTGGACGCTCTAAGGGAAGAAAGTTCAGCAAACCCCAAGGCCGATCTCCTTGACAACCACCAATAAGAGCTCCTTTTTTCTTCTCCTGAGCTCCAGGCCTGACTCAAAGACGAGACTTTCCTCTTTTTGTCCGCCCTGCCTGCGTGAGTCTGCGCTCAACTCCCCCATCACACCAGTTTCCTCCCCTGCCCCCAACGCACACCCCCCCCCACCCCAAACCTGCAGGCACATGCTCTCACATGCGCACATCCACACAGTTCCTACAGCCTTGAACATGCAACCTGTCACACACATTTACATGCGCAGACCCCCTCAAACACACACACAGTCCTGCTCACAGGCGCACACACGGCAGGAGCTGATCTCTAGGGCCCTGGAGAGTTAAATCTGTGCCCAGCCACCGGTGCTCCAACCTGACTTCACATCACAAATTCGTCGTGGCACTAGCCTGGTGGCTGAAGCAAGAGGTCCCCCATATGGGGGGATCAGAAAGGGCCAGGAAGGAAGTGCTTCTTTTTGCCTTCAATAAGCCTTACCCTCCCCCCATCACTCCAGACATTTCCTTCTGCACAGCAGCTCCTGGCTGGTGGCTTGATTTGGGAGATCTCTTTATCACGCTTTATTTTGTACTCCTCCTGGGTGCGTGGCTTGGGTTTCTGGGGGAGAAAGCTTCCCCAGGACCACATGTTGTCTCGTGCATTAGGTAACAGGGCAAGAAGTGTGAGTTTTGGGGAGCAGTCCTTTCAGGGGGCAATGCTCTCTGATATCCTTGTCCCTTAGGCACCCCCACTTCAGCCGGATGCTCCCCCAAGCTTGACAGAAGCAGGGAAAACTTCCAGGCTCAGTACCCCCAAATCAAAGAGGGAATGGAGGGGGGTGATGGCCTGTTGGGAGTGGAGCCCCGAAACCGGGGGCAGCTCTCCCCCCTCCCAAACTCTAGCCTCTGAGATGGGCACACTGAGAAAAGGTGGTTCTTGCCATGAAAAGGTCGTGGTCTCTGCAGAGGAGTCGGGGAGCAGAGGAGGAGGGAGGTGGCACGGAGGCACACGTGTGTGCCCCCCACAGATGCACGAAGGCGGTGGCAGAGAAAGAGGCGGTCACATCTGCCCTGGGGCGCGGCCAGGGAGGCCTGCCAGGACTTGGGACCCTCGAGTTAGGCATGAAGTATGAGGAGATGATTTTTCTGATGGACAAGAATGTGCCAAAGTCCTCGAGAGAAGGTGGGGACCAAGGAGCACATGTTCTCGAAGCACCTTGTAAACCGTAAAGCCCTGCACGTGTGTGACGATGACACACATAGAGTGGCTCAGAGAGACGGTCGCGTCTGTGCTGGTGGGTGGGCTGGTGGGCAGCCGTCCACCTGGACTCCAGCAAAAGGCATCTTGCAGCCTTTGGAGACAGAGCTCGGAGTGCGGAGGCCCAGGGATGAATTGGACATTCTGTTTGGGAGAGAACTCTCCATGGCTCCCCATGTCTTTCAAACGGGCTGACAGGGCACTCTGCGTCCTCCCCAGTGGGCGGTCCGATCCTCGCCATACCGCTGGCGAAGGGGGTCCCGCAGACATCCCGCGTTCACACTGCCGAGCCTCTGCCCGAGTGCCCCCTCTGCCAGGAATGCTCTTCCTTCCTTTCTTCACAGGGCTGGCCTCCTGCCTGCATCCCAGCTCCCAGCCCCGGGCAGATGCGGGGCCCCCTTGGGTCTCCTGCAGATTCCCAGGTTTCCCCTTCGGAGTTCAGCTCACCCTGAGTTTCACATCCATCTCCTTCCAGACCAGGGGTTTCCAAAGGCAGGACGCACAGCGGATTTATATCTCGTGTCACAGCTGCCAGATGATGCCTAAGAAATCATCACTGAATGAATGAAGGAAGGAACAAACAAAGAAACAAGACAGGTATTGCTTACCTGAGAATTCATATCTCTCCAGGGAGTAGATAAAGATCCTTTGGCTATTTGACAGGGCCTAGGGGAGTGAGTCCAGCTGCGAACCCTCTCCAGCCACCGCCGTACTGGACCTGCGCGGAAGCTGGGCTGGCCAGCAGGACCCCTGTCCTGCGGGGCCCTTTGGCTCCCCCTGCTGACACCTGGCGGAGGTCTCTTGCTTCAGGAATGCACAGCCCAGCCACTGCGACTCAGCCTACTCAGCCTGCTCACCCCGGTCCTCAGTGTAAGAACACCTGACTTTTAAAAAAATTTCCCTTGAGGGGAACTGTCTTGATTAATGACAGTTATAAAAGTTCTTTGAGAAAGTCTGGTTCTCTGCAAGTATAAAATGTCATTATTGGGATGTTAAGCTTCCGTCTGGGTGATCTGGCAGACTTTCATCATTCTTGCTTATTAAAAATGAACTTTGATCACAATGCCTCTGTGCTGCACACTTTTTTACACCATCAAGGGTAGTTTTGTTACCGTCCTTGGTGACCCTAAGCCCCACAGGCCAGGTTTCTAGGCTCGTCCCCGATCTGTCACATGAGGGTCTCGGTCCCCAGGACCCTGGGCATCTCCAGCTCACGCTCCAGACTCCCCCAAAATGACCCTCATGCATTTTGCACTCAACATATTCTGACCTCCCACTGCGTCCTCTCCCAGGTATTGAATAGTAACCTGTGTCGAGTGTCCCCGTGTGCTGGCACTGTGCTCAGATGTCCTGTGTATTGCAACATTTAATTCTGAGAAGTAGACATGACCGCCACCCCAACTTTACATCCGAGACTCGGGCCACTTGCCTGGGACCAGGATAGAGCTCGCGAATGGCAGAGGTGGGATTCGAACTCAGGTGTGTGTGACTCCTGAAGACACGCTCTTAATCATTACCCGTTAATAAAAACCCGCTCTAAGGCTCGAAGGGCAAACAGAGAGCTCCTGGTGCAATGGGTCAAGTTTACTCTTTCGGCTTCATTGGTGAGCACAGTGGTTTTTACATACTGGGCAGACAAGCTGTAACAGTTCGTTTTTCACAGGGTTGACGCGAGGGGCTACCCAGCTTGATGTCCTCTCATCTTGCTAACGAGCCCCTGGAATGACGATACTTTGTTTCAGAGGGTTGGGTGGGATTGTGCAGAAGTGGAAAGAGGGGGTGATGGGACACGCACACACCCCACACTCCCGGGCCAGGGACGACCTGGGGGCAGGATGACACCGAGAAAGGCTCCTCAGTCTCCTAGGCAGAGCGCGGACACCAGAGACACGTCCTTCTTACCGCGCTGGTGCGGAGCTTGGCCATGCACCAGGCACCTGCCCACCGGCGCCTGGGGTCGTGCCTATAAAGCTGACTCATGCTGCCGGTTCATATTTACCTGGACAGGAATCCCCTGCTCCCGCAATGCCCTTCCCCATCCCCCGGGCCTGGTAGACCCTGACACAAGGCTCAGCTTGGGCCCTGTCCTCAGAGCCGTCCCCCTGCGCGGGGGCCTTGGGGAGTGGGTCCCGCTGCCCACATTCTCCCAGGCACCTCCATCCTGTGTGGGGAAGCTGGGCCGGCCAGCAGGACTGCCATCTCCAGGGATCCAGAGTGGGTGACCTGGGGCCCTTTGGCCTTACAGGAGGCCCCGCCATGCCGGAACTTATTGGTTAGTAGATCTTGTTTCCTGCTTAGGTCATGATGTTGGGGTATACAGATTAGACTTCCTAGTCACCTAGTATCCCTTCTACACCGCCACCCAAGGCCTCTGTTATGAATGGGTGGCTCTGGCTAGGTCATTTATTCTATCCCATGACTCTGGCCATATAATTGGTCCAGGCAGGGACATGTGACTAAACCAAGCCAATCAGATGCCTTCCCTGGGATTCTGTAAGTGAGGCTGGTGGGATGAATCTTCCTCTCTATGTGGGCATGAAGCAGTAAGTGTGGGTGTCCAGAGCTGCCTGTCACCGTGGTGCTGCCATGGTGTGGACAGCTGGCCTGAGAGAATGGACTCTCCAGTCAGACAGAAGCAGAGGGAAGAGAAGGGGAAGGAAAAAGGAGAGAGAGAGAGTGGGGAAGGAGAGGGAAGGAGAAGGGAA